TATGAAGGGTGGAATTGGACATTTCTTTCGTAATCTTTTGACATGTCCGACTTGTCTTCAATTCCTACTATATTTATTTTCCCGTAAAGAATTATGTGGCGCTTTGGCTCATTGATCATTGAGTTGATGTCTTCGCTTTTTTTTCCTCTCTTTGATTTTGTAGACATGTCTTTCACATAGAACACCGACTCACATCGGCTGCACAAGGACGAATGGTTCCTCTTTGTATCCAATATTGTTGAGGTCCATTGTTGTCATTCCATACTCTTTGTCGATTGTTACCCTCCTCCGGTCAACTTCACCCATTGGCACCGGAACAAAGGGACTTTAAAATTAGGTGCGTAGTCTAGTTTCCATATCTCTTCTATGCGGCCATAATATGTTTGTATATTCCCATTTGGATCTGTGCCATCTATCACGAACACCACTATTTTGATTTGCTGCTCCTTTTATCTTGGGCAAGCGTGTAAAATGTATTCCCATTTATCTCGCACCCTTGGTACGTGAGGATATGCCACGATGGTCGCCTAGCCAACAAATACGATTGCTCATCAATATTGTCATCGCCTTGACATTCTTTTCGCAACCAACCACTGAAACTTTCCATGTCTTCGACGCCTAATCCAAGCTTCAGATCTTCCTCGAAACTTGGATCGTAAGAACTCCTTATGTATCTCGATGTACGGATGCACCAATGACGAGTTCTCAAGAAGCGTGTAGTGTGCTTTATTGAAATAATCGTCTTCCATGCCGATATATGTTTTCTTCCCTAAAGTTCCTTTACCATCGAGTCTCCCCTCATGTCGTGATTCGGGAACGCCAATCGGGGCAATGTCGGGAATAAAGTCAACACAGAACTCAATGACCTCCTCTGCTCCATAGCCTCAGGCGATGCTTCCTTCAAAGCTTAGAACGGACTTTCACATATTTCTTCAAGACTCCCATAAACCTCTCAAGGGGAACATGTTATGTAAGAACATAGGTCCAAGAATACTAATCTCCTTCACCAAATGAACTAGGATGTGTGTCATGATATTAAAGAAGGATGGAGGAACACCAACTCAAAGCTAACAAGACATTGAACCACATCATCATTCTCAGAGTAGCTAGTTCCTTTGGATTGATTGCCTTCGAGAAATTGCATTGAGAAATGCACATAGCTTCACGGTGGCTAGACGTACATGTGGAGGTAGAATTTCTCTTAAAGCAACTGGAAGCAATTGCGTCATAAGCACGGCGGTCGTGGGACTTTAAGTTTAGGAATTTTTTATCCGCACATTTATTATACCCTTTATATTGGAGGAGAATCTCGATGGGACCTTGATGTCGCTTAGACATTCGAACATGTTGTCCCTCTCTTCTTTGCTAAGCGTGTAGCTAGCGAGGACTTAAGTAATGACGTCCATCACTGTCTTCTCTAGATGAAGGTTGTCTCGTTCTTTCATGCTTTGCAAGTCTGGGCGTGCTTCAAGTGAATCCTTTGGCTTCCCCACACACCCATGAATCCTAACAGTTCACACAAAGATTCTTTGTCGGTGCATCACGTCGATTGCGTTGCGGACCTCTAGGACTTGCCAATAGGGTAGCTCCCAAAGATGGACTTCTTCTTCCACATGGGTGCATGTCCATTAGCATCTTTGGGAATAGATTCACCGCCTTGTCCCTTTCCAAATACTACTTTCACATCCTTGACCATTTGAGTACATCTTCCCGGTTCGGTTATGAGGCTTCTTCCGGTGGTCCGGCTTACCTTTAAAATGCTTCCTTTTTTTTCTTACTTGGTGATTCAAAGGAAGGAATCGACGATGGCCAAGGTACACGACCTTTCGACATCTTTTCAAATATATCTTGTCAAGGTCATCAAAACAATGTGTGCATGTATTATATCCTTTGTTTGTCCGACCAAAGATTACTTAAAGCAGGCCAATCATTGATGGTTACGAACAACATTGCTCGAGGTCAAAGTGTTCTTGTTTGTACTCATCCGGCACACGCACACTGGTTTGTTCCATAAAACTAGAAGTTCTTCAACTAATGGCTTCAGATATACATCAATATCGTTGCCGGGTTGCCTCGGACCTTGGATGAGGATCGGCATCATAATGAACTTCCGCTTCATGCATAACCATGGAGGAAGGTTGTAGATACATAGAGTGGCCGCCAAGTGCTATGACTAGTGCTCGCTGTCCAAAAGGATTCATACCATCGTACTTAAGGCGAACCTTAAGTTTCTAGCCTCATTTGCAAACTCTAAAAATTCTCTCATCTATCGCTCTCCATTGGGACCCATCAATTTGGGTGTCTCAAAGATATTGTCTACCTTACGGTCTTCTTTATACCACCGCAACAACTTTGCGTGGTCTTTATTTCTGAACAACGTTTTAAGCGTGGTATTATAGGAGCATACCACATAACCTTGGCGAGGATTTTCTTTCTAGGACGTTGTTCACCCTCGACATCACCGGATCATCGCGCCGATCTTATACCGCGATGCTTTTTACATACCGGGCATTCATCCAAATTCTCGTATTCATTGCCATGGTAGAGGATACAATCATTAGGACATGCATGTATCTTACGGATTTTTAATCCCAAAGGCGGATAACCTTTTTGCTTCATACGTAGTGGTGGGCAATTCATTTGGCTTCGGAAGCATCTTCTTTATAAGGTTTAATAAATTCCCAAATGCCTTATCGGATACACCATTCTTTGCCATCCACTGTAGCAATTCCAGTTGTTGTACCCACTTTTTTTTGCCCTCTTCGGCCGTCGGGTATAGCAACTTCCTATGATCCTCAAGCATGCGCTCCAACTTAACTTTTTCTTTTTCACTTTCCCATTCTTGTTGTGCATCACGAATGGCATCGCCAAGAGCATCACCGAGATCATCTTCTACCGCTACCTCTTCTTCATCTCCCCCTATTGTAGTATCATCAAAGGCACCATACTGAGCAATAATGTCATCAATGTCTAAATCTTCTCCTTCACCTTCTTCCATCATGACCCCGCTTTCTCCATGCTTAGTCCAACATATATAGTTTGACATGAAACCCGACTTAAGCAAATGTGAATGAAGACTCATTGAGCTTGAATATTCCTTTAAATTCTTACATAGGGCACATGGATGAAGATATGAAAACCATCCCGCTTATTTGCCTCGGCCACACCTAAGAAATAGTGCAAGCCCTCTATAAAGTCTTGGGAGCGGCGATCGGCATTGTACATCCAATGGCGTGACATAATCAGATTACACGACAAATTATGAAAACCTTGAACATAATTAAGTATTTTATTACACAACATAAATGACACACACACGGTTGATTAATTAACTAAGCTCTGGCTACAACGTAAGCAATCCCAACTATCACTAAACAAACTAAAACTACAATGCACTTCAAGTAACATAATTATTTTGTGATAAACGCAACTAAAAAACAGACAAATCATTCTTCCGTTGAATATCAATAAGCTTCTCCTATTTGGCTCATCGCCTCATCGCCAGCAACCGCTACCTCAAGCGCACTCAAATTTCTCGCACGTATGTAGCATAATCTTCCTCCCAGTACCAACCATCGCATCCATTGCCTCCCCATCGAAATTAAAGCCAAAAATATTTAGTCAAAAATATTCAGAAAAGCAGTCAATTAGCCATACTTATAAAATGCGTAAGAAACTCACATCGCGATCCAGGGCACTTGTAGAAAACACGACCCTTGATGGGTCCCTCGTCTCTTGACTCGGTACTCCATCACAATCTTCTGCTTACACTTGCCGCAGATAATGAGAGGGAGTTCTGGCCTCAGTCGTTTCGCAACCGAACGAGAGGCCGAGGATCCAGCAACAGTTGTCATCTACTTTCTATACTTATTTTTGTAAACTAGTGTAAATTTCATATTTTCAAATATCCATCAAATTATAGCTCAAAAACATGTTTCAATAAATAACCATCCGTACTAGTTGACCTTGCTTACGTGATCATCTCGGCGAGCATTTTCTCCGGACGGACGGCACGTGATTTTGGCCAAGGAAGAGCTCCGATTCTACGAGAAAGGAACACGGTCTTCCACGACCGTTGCCGCCTCCCTCGTAGAATCAAAGCTCCTCCTTGACGTCCGATACCGCTTCGTTCGAGAACATGCTTGCCGAGCTGAACACGGTCCGCAAGTTCAACTAGTACGGATTTTCTACAATTTTCTAACAATTTTCTAAGTTTTTCATTTCATGGAAAAATTAATTCTAAGATCACGTAAGCCACCGGGGACGAGAATGGCACGTGCTCCAGCGAGGACGAGCGAGGCGTGATTTTGATGAACTAATTTAACTTTTGTTTATCCAAACATATATGCAAATCATCATGTGATTTTGAGCTAAAAATGACATATAAAATCATAATAAAGTCCAACATATAAAGTTACACATGCATCTACATCGCAAAATGAGATAAGCTACTGATAAAACATAAGAGCATTAAGTTTGTTACCTCCAAAATCGAAGAGCAACACCAATGGAGGGGGAGAGTGCAAGAACAACAGCAAGCTGAAGAACAGAGGCAGTGAGTTTGAATAATGGAATGGCTCGGGCTCGGGGAGGAAGAATTGAGCAGAATTATAGGCCGGGATAATTAGTCCCGGTTAGGGGTCCAAACCGGGACTAAAGATTAATCTTTATTCCCGGGGCATAACCAAAACCGGGACTAAAAGCTTTAGTCCCGGCTGGTATTACCAACCGGGACTAAAGGTAAACCTTTAGTCCCGGTTAGTAATACCAGCCGGGACTAAAGATCCCCGCCTGTGAGACGACCGTTGGGCAGGGAACTTTAGTCCCGGTTGGTATTACCAACCGGGACTAAAGGGTCCTTTAGTCCCGGGGGCAAAAAATGCCGAGGCTAATGCTAAATTGGGACATCGTTCTAAAGTCTGTTCTCTAGTAGTGGAGTGCCCGGCGTGCAGGAGGCTGTTCTGTGCACGGTGTGGTGTGCCATGGCACGCTGGCATTAGCTGTGCCGAGTATGGGCAATTAGCACCTGGGGACAAGGGGAAGGAGGACTTAGTGGTGCTGGAGATGGCCAAGGGGGAGAAGTGGAAGAGGTGCCCCCGTTGCAAGTTCTTGGTCGACAAAAGCGAAGGCTGTGTGCACATGACTTGCAGGTGAAACTAAATCTACTCCCTTTGTTGCGAATTTAAGACCTAAGATGTTTTAGTTTTTAGTTCTGTCGTTCTAAATCAAACTTTTAGGTTCATAGGAAAAAATATAGCATTATCTACAGTAATACAAATAAATACGCAATTAGGATATATTCCTTGGTAGATTTAATGAAACTAATTTGATGTCGTAGATGTTGATACATTTAATTTTTCGATAAACTTGACCAAAGTTAAAATTATTTGATTTAGGTACTTTAGATTGGATGGTGTAACTTCGAGCAGTTAATTTGCTTTCTTGTACATACATCAAATTGATAGAAAATTGTTTTCAAGGCAACATAACTTCTTGAATTCATTATGTAGGTGTGGCTTCCAGTTCTGCTATGCATGTGGCGAGCCGTGGGGGCAGTCTCATCATTGCAACACGGCGTGAAAGCTGATTTTGCGCATAATCCAGCAGTGGAAAGCGAATGAAGTTCCACGATCCATGCAGTCAAACTATTTTTAGTTATATATTGGCACATGCAGCCAAACTATTTCTCGTCGTATATGGCACTACCGCAGAGATAAAAACTAATAAGTGTAGTTCAATAACACATGTAGTCAAACTATTTTTGATTTTATGAGCTATGTATGTCATTGTGGCGGTACTACATAAATCTCTATCACAATTTTTTAACTAAATTATGATAGAGATTTTTATAGTAGTGCTATAAAGACATACATAGCTGATAAAAGCAAAAATAGTTTGACTGCGTGTATCATAGGCCTACACATAAAAGCAATTATGTGTAGGCCTATGATACATGCAGTCAAACTATTTTTGCATTTATGAACTTTGTATATCTTTATTGCACTACTATAGAAGTGAAAGAAACTGTCTTCGTTGCAGTATTACAAAAATCCCTATCGGATACAATCAAAGGCTGCTAAAACGGTTCGTGAATCTTAATAACACAAGCGGCTCAAAAGCCAGTTCTCACAGTACAGTACAATAAAATGCAATCCCAACCTAGAACAACATTACTACAGGTTTTTGGATCTTAGTATCACAAGCGGCTCAAAAACCTCTTCTCATAGTAGTACAATGAAAAGCAATTCCAACCTAGAACCACCACTGCTACTACAGGTTTTAGAATCTTAGTGTCACAAGTGGCTTAAAAACCTCTTCTCATAGTAGTAGAATGAAAAGCAATTCCAACCTAGAACCACCGTTACTATTTTCAGCTGCCTCTACAAATGACCTAATCTTTAGAGGCGGCTCTAGATGCAGCCGCATCTATAAATGGATTTCTAGAGGCTGCTGGATCTAGAGCCGCCTCTGAAAATCGATTTGTAGATGCGGCTGGATTTAGGGCCATCTCTAAAAATAGGTGCAGCTTAGTAAAATTTGAATTTTGTAAGTGGCCTCAGATGGAGAAATGGCAAAAACTAAATTTATAGATCTCGAAGAGTTATACAATTTTATAGTTGACAACTTTTTCATTTAAAACCATTTATCTAAGGAAAATTATGTTTGAATTTTTCACATTTGAAATTCGGTTTTTTCAAATGATCTCGGATGGAGAAATGACCAGAAGCAAAGTTGTAGATCACGACGATATCTACAACTTTATAGTTTAAAACATTTTTATTTACATTCGTTTAGCGTCCCAAATACACATTTTAAAATCCCGAAAAGAGAATACGAGGAGAATGAATATGGCTTATGGACATGACTGTCATTTGGGTGGGGTGATTAGAGAAGTTACAAGCGAGGCAATAGGTCGGCGGTTTGAATCCTAGCTAGCGTGCAGCGTGTGCTTTTTTCGCAAGGCTTTTTTTTACTATTTTTGGCCAGATTTATGATGTTTTGGATGATTTCTGAGAAATGATTTGTAGAGGTGGCTATTGTTGCCGGCCGCCTCAAGACATCCTATTTCTAGGGCTGGCTGGGCAGCCGCCTCTACAAATCGATGATTTCTAGTAACGGAAGAATATAGGCGGCTGGCCCAACCACCTCAACAAATGCGGCCTATAGTAGTGCGTCTGCCCCTTGGCCCGACTCAGCCGCCTGCAGCCATTCCCGCTGCCTAGCCGCACCCTCAACCCTGCTCGGGCGCCATCCTACTCACGCCGCCGCCTAGCTGCGCCACCCCGCCCTACTAGTGCCGCCTCTACCCTGCTCGCGCCGCCACCTAGCCACGCCGGCCTGCCCTGCTCGCATGGAGGTGAGCTTGAGAGAGACAGACAGAGCGAGACGGCCTCTCGGTGGGACGAGCACGTTTGGCCAATTTGAGAGAGCGAGCAAATCCCGAATCTTGCTTGAATATTTGCTCTCAGGAACCACTCCATTCTACTCGTTTCGCAACCAAACATCGATGAAAGCGGGATGGATCGGTTCCTTCCCGGTCCGCTCCTCAACCCAACGCATCATAAGTCAATCGACTAGCTCTTATGCTTACTGAAGAAGGTAGCGTGGAAGGACAAACGAGCACATCCTTTAAATCATGGCCCGGTGACAGACAATGACATCAGCTTTCGTAACATCGTCTTTTCTTACAACGGGTGACTGCGTAGGCTTTAATAAATAGTTGTGATGCACGAATTTTAATTTGGAGAAGAAAATATACAAGAAACTGTAAGTACACACAAGTTCTATTGCATGTGTTAATTAATATGCTAAACACTCCATGTGAGAATCGAAATATTTGTGTTAACATTCGTTTTAATTTAGAAGTCAGCTGATGATCATGGTAGCCCTGCAAATGAAAAATATCAATTACATGTACATGACCCCCTGGTTAGTCTTGCACGCTGCCATCAACCTACAAGCAAAGCAACTGGCCGGCAGTTACAAGTCGCAAGCGCACTATCTCAGCCACTAATTTGGCCAGGTTCCCGCAGTGTGAAGCCGTGGAAGCGCACTCTCTTTTGCCTTTTGTTTCGAAGAAAGCATCCAGGGAAACACAAAAGAGGCATTCGTTGCTTGCCAGAGAAGATACATACATCGTCCTTCCAATATTCGTTGCTTGCCAGAGAAGAAATTAAATGCATTTGTAAGAAGCTAAGTAATCTGTAACTGTACATCTATCTGTATGAATATCCAAGTGGGCACTAGCTATATATGAGAAGATTATGCTGTGTCAAACGGAAAATCTACATTTCATTAGGCCCTTTGAGAAAATTCTTGTACATATCACTACTGGAGACGCCCTCTTTGCCGAGGGCCCAGGGCACTCGGCAAAGGCCCAAAAGCCCTCGGCAAAGGCTTTGCCGAGTGCCGCCCTCGGCAAAGAGCCCTTGGAAAAAAAATTAACGGCATAGAGGCTCTTTGCCGAGGGCCATTTGTCGGGCACTCGGCAAAGCCTTTTCCGAGGGCCAACGGCGGCGCTCGGCAAAGAAGCAGCCGTCAACGGCGCTGCTCCGTTGACGGTGCCTTTGCCGAGTGCCAACAATTAGGGCACTCGGCAAAAACATTTTTTATTTTTTTTTCAAAAACTCTTTGCCGAGTGCCACGGCGGCAAGGCACTCGGCAAAAACATTTTTTATTTTTTTTAAAAAAGCTCTTTGCCGAGTGCCTCCCTAGCTTGGCACTCGGCAAAGATTTTTTGCTTTTAAAAAAAATCTTTGCCGAGTGCAATGTCCTGGCACTCGGCAAAGTTTCCCAGCTTTGCCAAGTGCCATGACCATTGCACTCGGCAAATCAATCGAAACTGCAATTTTTTTATTGTTTTTTGCATTCCACTGACACAAACAGTTCAAATATATATCACATGTCACATATATATCACAATCATCACAATAATCACATATATATCAGAACGAAACCATTTTCACACATTATATCACAACCACAACTCAAATAACAACATATCGCAACCACAAGTCAAATATCACAACCACAAGTCACAAATTCACAAACACAGTCCATCAAGTCAAAGCACAAGTCACAACCACAAGTGAAGCTCAAGTCCAAGCACATGACGAAGCACAACTCCTCAAAAAAGCGGCCTATGACACGATGGTTCATTCGGTGACGCATAAGCGGGGTTATTCGAACCCGTCGACTGAAGCTGCAAAAACGATAAGAGGTTGCATGTGTGAGATTCATCTAGTAAGTTTCTATGTGAAGCATTGGTGTATGTCATAGCTAGTGCAAGCATGTAGTAAGTTTCTATGTCAAGAATCTAGTAAGTTTCTATGTCAAGCATCTAGTAAGTTTCTATGTCCAGCATCTAGTAAGTTTGTATGTCAACCATGGTTGTATGTCAAGGAAGCATCTAGTAAGAGTGAACTTTCATACTTACAGGAGTGGCTGTAGGAGTAGGCGGTGGAGGAGCTGCCAACGGCAAAGGTACACCCCCTTGCTGGACACTCCGCATGAAGGCCTCCATTTCTTGCATCCTCCTCTCCTGGGCCGCAAACGCTTCCCTCTTGGCCTGCAGCTGCGCGCTCTGAGCCTCGACCACGAGCTTCTGGGCCTGCAGCTCAGCCTACAATACAAACTTCAATGTTTCAGTAATGCAAATGTAACTTAGGTGTGCAAAGATGAACGTACGACGAGTAAAACAGGACGTACCTCGAGAGCGTCGACCCGCTACAGTGACCCTCGGGAAGGTTGGTCAACACATATAGCATGACACTTCGCCACTCTTCATTTCCCAATATCTTATTGGTCGATCCACTTGCGCTGCCGAGTTGGCCTTGGAACAGGCTATGGGTCCATTCATTTTCGCCAACATTGTAACGAGGGAGTGGATTATGATTGCTAGGAAGTTTCGGCTTGTAGTATAGTATTGTGAAGTTTGCCACCTCCTCCCTTAGACTTGCCTCTGCAATGGAAGCCTCAATTCTGGCTTTATTTGTACATTTCTTATGAAGAGTCTTTAGACATCTCTCGATTGGATAGCACCACCGGGCTTGCACGGGCCCCCCCAAACGTGCCTCGGACGGCAGGTGCATAATCAGATGCTGCATGGGCAAGAAGAAGCCGGGTGGAAAGATCTTTTCTAGCTTACAGAGCAACACAGGTGCCACTTTTTCCAAGTCCTGAGCGACGGTCCGAGATATCTCCTTGGCACAAAGCTGACGGAAGAAAAAGCTCAACTCTGCCAGCACTTGCCAGACATGGTCAGGGACATAGCCTCGGACCATCGCCGGAAGAAGCCGCTCAATCCATATGTGGTAGTCATGACTCTTCATCCCATTGACTCGTAAAGTGCCTAAGTTCACTCCCCTGCTCAGATTCGCTGCATATCCATCTAAGAACATTAACGTCTTGATCCATTTTAGTACTTCCCTCCTTTGATCGGTTCCAAGACAAAATCGACCTTAGGTCTTTTCCATTGTTTGTTTCGGCCACTAGGAGGCCGCATCTCTTGCTTCGGTCTATCACACAACGTCGCTAGGTCCACTCTAGCCTTAACGTTGTCCTTAGACTTGTCAGTGTTCATGAGAGTTCCCCAAAGTGCCTCGGCGATATTCTTTTCGGTGCGCATTACATCAATGTTATGTGGCAGAAGATGGTCATCGAAATAGGGGAGCCTCGTCAAGCCGGACTTATGAGTCCACATATGTTCCTCACCATATCCCACA